TAAAAGAGGTCAGAAATAAGGAATAGCAGGATAGGCAGTGAATTTTTTTGAAGAAATGACATCTGCCTTCACCCTTCTTCAGGAAGAACACCTTGCATACCTTCCCCAGCCCCAGGACTTGGTTCTACATGCCCTGAGCTGCTCGGCCGAATCCCATCCTTTCCAACAGTGTCTTGATTGGAAGTTAAAAAATTAGGTCAAGGTCAGTATTGCATTATGAAAATGTGTGTCCCTGCAGCTTAAAGGAGGACATATATTCCCTACCTGAACACTTTTAGATTTTCTCATTTTAAGGTATTTTTAAATGAACTGAAGTTGATTTCAATAGTGACTCATGGAGAGAAACAGAGAGCTCCAGTTCATGGAGAATGGCTGTATCCTGGAAAAAATGTGAGGAGATGGGATGAGCGAGAGCTATGCCCTGGAGGGGCCGTGGCCTGTCACTCCGCTGACAATGTGACACTGTGTAGACTGGCTCAGGCCATGACTCCCATCTGGGACAAATCTATCACACAGCACCAAGTTTACAATTGTGTCAACCTTTACAGAGTCAAATTCAAAAAAACAATGATCAATTCAGTGTAGATTAGCCAGATAAGAGGACTGTGGTTTAAACCCAAACAGGAAAAATCTGTGGAATTCTCTATGCTCCCCTAGGAAGATCCCATGACTCTTCTAATTATATGGAGAGCTGGCGCTGCTGTTCCTAATTTATTGCTCCTAGGAAGAAACAACGTCGGTAAACTCTACTGAGTAACACTGATGCTAGAAGCTCGGGAGACTAGGAGATGTTGTTGGTTCTGCCTTCATCTAGAGTCAGAGCTGTTGATGCTGAGCAGATATGGACTCTGAGTTGTCTTTCTTACCACTTAGAGGAAAGTACTACAGAAGCTCTTCCAAACATAGGATTACTTTAAAAATCACTGGAAGAGTTTTTCACTGTGAAGACCCCACTGCAATATCAGAAAATCCACTAGATGTGGTGGACTTGTGCTCTGATTTAACTTCACTTGTTT